TTTGAGCGACTTTCTCGACAATGTTTGTGAAATATTTGTTGGAAACCGTTTCTCATTAGAATTGTATGTTGCTGCTAACGAGACAATGCTTTTGTATTCATTGCAGGTGGAGAATTGGATCTCAGTTTAAAACACGTGTTAAATATTTTTTTTAACAAAAATATTTCAAAGCAAAAGTATGCTGAAGTAGAATTGAGACCTTGCGACTGAAGATTAACGCGTGAATACAAAGTACATATTGTCAACCTTTGACCAACTGCAAGTTAGTTGGTCTTCATCAGAATCTTAAATTATTTTTATTAATTACAAATAATGTTGATAATTTCTGATGATGTGTATGGATTCTTCAGCAAATGGGGCAATATATTCTTTTATATATATATAAAAAACGCTTACGAAAATAAGGAACCTTTGCCATACAAACCTTGTATATTTGCGAGTCCGGCTCGTTATACTTGCAGGCGTTGTCAAACATTAATATAAAATCGGACACCAACTCGTCCAAGTTGTCATATCCGTTATTCTTTAAAGTGGAAGCTATCTTCTCCATATGTATAGGCTGCTTTATCACCTCATAATAATCTGGATATTCATTTTTATTTGGTAATTTCATGAAAATTAGAGATAACTGCCTCCCTTTTGCATCGTGGTAGTCTTTTATAGTATCGTAGAGGGTTCGTAACTTTTGCAGATGAACCGGTATTACTTTTTTCGGTCTCCTGAACATAGAAAGAGGGAAAAAAACGGAGAGAGAAGTAGAGAGAAGACTAAAACGAATCAGCGCCGTTATCCCCTTCATATGAGTTACGACATACCCGACGTTTCTCGTTGGGGTCGACGCGGTAGACTTGGACCTAGGATTATCCGGCAAAGGTCCTAATTCTTTTACTCTATCCATCAAGACCTTCTCCAATGTATTCGCGTCTTCGTATATCAACGAGCCTTCCTCGTTATATTGGCGACAATTACTGAACATCAACTGAAAGACAAAGGATATAAACTAAATATCTATCGCAAGACTATCACTATCGACCGGGGTCGAGGTGACAAGTACCTTAAAATCCTGTATCAATTCGTTTTCGCTTTGATACTTCTCCGCTTTAATATTGGCTTCGATAGCCAACATGTCTATGGGTTCCGCTATCACTTGATAGTAATCCGGATACAACTTTTTGGAAGGCTTCTCCATAAACATTAACATGGGCTGCCGACCGTCTTCGCACTGCAAAACGCAACACGGCATGCTGTAAGTTGACCGATTACATCGAACGTGACGGTTTCTGGAATTACTTACGACGTATTCCACGACACACTTGACTAATGCGTGCAATCTCTTCTTCAACGGTATATTGTCTTTGTATTTCCCTCGTGTCAGTAAATTCGACGCGCGTTTTATCAACTTAGGTTGCTGCAGACTGTTCTCGGATTCGCTATCCGAATCGGAGTCCTGTAGAAATATTGAAAACTCTATGTTACATCCGCTTTTCGTAAATACCGTGCTGTGATAAAATTGTTGTGCTCAATTCACGGTGTATTACCTGATCGAATTCCAAGAGTTCTTGCACTTTCTCCTGCATTACTTTTTGCAATTTAACAGCACACTGCAATAAAATGGAAAAGGTGAATAACTAGACCGCAATTGCCGGGCATTGTAGCAATATTTTCCGATTCGATTTTATCTTCAAGCCCTTCGAAATTGGACGAAAAATTGAGGGCCACTTATACGCACAGTGTATTCTGTGTAACGTTCATATTTTTTTTAATTACATATATAGAGGAAAGTCCTCTGTTACGAGATTGCAGGTTTTCAGCGTCCAAATTCAATCACAAATCTTTTTTTGCAACTGTTACACAATCCAAGAATGAATTTTCTACCGAACAGATTTCGCTCCGAGGGCAATAAATTCATGGTGGAATCAACATACGATGTCTATTAATTTAACCATAGTATAACTAGTAGGTCCACTCTCTGTCGACCCCTTTGATCTTTGCGGATCCAACAATGTGTGTACGTATAATCGTCAAAGTACACTATTGCACATACAACTTTTCTCTCATTGATCTGCCCAGAACAATGTCGGATGCGCAAAAGGGATCGACGCAAAACGAAACAAATGACAGACTGGACCAACTGGTTATATTACGATTTAACAGAAACTCCCAGCTACCTCATATTACGGGACTTTCCTCTAAATGTAACAGCAAATGACAAAGTAAAATGCGTTAACCACAGAATTCTTACCTTGTACAGTCGAGAAGTGTGCATGTTATACTTCTTAGCGTTTTCAAACATGATATTCATATCTCCAGCTACTTCACTAACAGTACCGTATTCACCTTTCTGAAAATCGCAATTGGAGACGAGTGTAAAACTGACCGTTTAACGCAACAATGTTGTCGTTTCAAACAGACGAATTATTTTCACAAACTTATCATACACACCTTTATCTTTGTACGTATTTGTAATAAAGATATAGGATTCTTAATCGTCTTATAGTAATCAGGGTATAATCTCTTTGATGGAAGCTTCCAAAAATATTCGCTCATCCTCACACCTGCAATGCACAGTGAGAAACAAAACAATCTGCGACGCAGTAACAAACTCGCAGCGCGACTCCACAACGAAAATCGTACCTTGATTGTTAGGAGCCGTCCGAATGGTTTGAAATAGTTGCCACTGTGGATTATCGGCCTCCTCAGTCTCGGCAGGTTCCTCCTCCTCGTCGTCGCTCTCGTCATCTTCGTCGGGCAGCGCAGCGGTTTGCGATATCAACGATTGCGCCATGGTGCGACTGCCCCTCTTGCTTCTTGTCGACGGCGCGGTCGTAGCGATCTTAATGCTGCCGCCGAATCCGCCGTCCTGCCTTCTCGCGGCCGCCGTGATTATCTTCTTCAAAAGTTTGGCATCCTTGTAAATCTGCGAGCCAGGCTCGTTGAACTGGCAGGCGTTACGGCACATGAGCATCAGATCCTTCTCCATGTCGCCAAGCGAGCTGTACGCACCCTCTTGAATCTTCCTCGCGATCGTCTTCAAATCGATCGGCGTCTCGATGACGTCGTAATATTCGGGATAGAGCTGCGTTAACGAGATTTCAGATGAGCGCGCGGCGACTCGGCGGCGCTTATTCGAGAACGGGCTACGTACCTTTTTAGACGGTTTGAGTTGAAACATAATGTGAAGAGGTCTGTTATTGTCAGTGGGATCGGTCGCAGTCATAACCGCCGCGAACAAATCTTCGAATAGCTGCATGGTTTCCTCGTCGAGATTCGTTGAACTTTCCGAGGTATCCTCGGCGTCGTCCTGCCGCGTCGTCACTTTACGCGCCTGGAGACACATCGACGGATTAATAATCTCACCGTGGCGCGCAGCAACCCAGGACTCGACTAAGCCGATCGAAACTTACCAGTCTGCCAACTTTTAGAATGAGCTTTCCCTTGGGTTCCGGATCCTCGTACTCCTCCATGATACGATTCTTAGTATTTACACACAGTTCCCACAGTTCAGTCGCATCTTTGTATTCGGGCGAGGTGCGCTACGCAAAAGAGAAATGATATGCTTAACAGGGAGAGCTGAATCATCAGCGAGTAAACGATAGCGCAGAACAGCTATAAGAACTAGAATACTAGAATAACGTAGCAGGATCTCAATCGCCAGGTAGTAAGTGACCTGGTAGCAATAACGGGACGCTCTACGTGCACTTAGGTACTCGCTCGGGCAGCGGATCGGCAGGACTGAGCCGGACGCCAGGTCTTACCATGTAAAAAGCTTTGGCGTTGTTCACCATAAGCTGAATATCGGCGGCGAGGTCGTCCATATCGCGATACTCGTCGGTCTTCAGCTTCTGCTGCACTTTCAACAGATCTATGGGATTGGAGACGACCTCGTAGTAGCCGGGCTCCTGCCGGCGCTTCGGCACGCGTATAAACGCGTCGCACAACAGGGAACCATCCTCCTTCTTCTGATTGCGAAGTATGTCGTACAGTTGTTGGCACAGGTCGCTCTGCGAGCAGGGAAGGGTAGGCTCGTTAGCGTTCAACATTACGCGGCGCACGCCTCGTCTGTGTACAAATACGAGGTGCCGCGCGAGGCGGGCGCGTGTACACTCACAGGATCCAATTTTTTCCTCCTCTTGGTCGGCTCGGGTGGGACGTCGTCGCTGTCGTCCTCGGCCCCGCGGCTCGCCACCGACGACGTTCTACGCCGCTTGTTCATCCCTGGCGTGGTCTTAAAAAGTCACACAAAGTTACACAAGTTGATAGGGGAAGAAGGGGGGAGGGGGGGGGAGAGAGAGGTCTCCTCGTAGCGGCGTTAACCACGACCGAGCGCCGCTACTACATCGTCCGCCGCCGCGGTCGCGATGCGAGGGTCCGCCGCGGCTATCGGCGGCAGGGGAGCACGAAACTTGTAAACAAATGTACTACGCGCGCATGCATACGCTCGAGTACGTGTGCGCGTTGTACGTGCATGAAAAAAGGGGCTCTTGGGAACCGAACCGCGGGTCCGTGTTCGCCGCGCCGCTATTACCGCGGGAGGCAACGCACGTCGGGGCTCGTCGCGGCGGCAGTCCAGGTAGCCGTGGACGAGGCTCGCGGGCTTCCGTCTCTCTCTCTCTCATTCACACACACACGCGCGCGCGCGTTCACTCGCGGTCCCGCACGTCTCGACTCGTGCGTTAGTTAACTCTCGCAAGTTGAACACGAGTGAGAATTCCTCGAGGAGAGCGGGACGTCACGTATACGCGCAGGGGGAGGGGAGAGGAGCGAGCGAGAAAGAGGGAGGGAGAGAGAGCGCTGGCGAGCCGAGAGACACGCACGGACTGGCAGCTAAAAAAAAATGAACCGCGCCGCCATAGTCGTCACTTGCGCGCTTCGAAACGCGGCCGACGGCACAGCACGCCGCTTGGCCGGGCTTTTCGGCTCTCTCTCTCGACCGCCGCCGTGAGAAGCGCGGCTTCCACCGCCGCCTCTACGCCGCCATCGATTATCAACCGCGTCGCGCGCGGCTCCGCGTCTCTCCCGCGTGCGGACGAACGGGACGCGTTCGCGCGTCCCCCCTTCCCCCTCCTGTCCGTTCGT